GATGTATGTGTCCAAGCTTATCTACATCCTTATTATACCACCATTAGTTATGGCATCTGATGACAAGGGTTAAAATCCATCTCTCTGTCTTTGTTTCTCTCTCACTCACTCAGCTCAAGCCCGATTTTTTTTGGACATTTTCCTATCTCACCTTACATCGTCTGACTTTGTGTCTGTGTTTAGCATGAAGAGCAGTCTGTCTGGAGCCTGAGGAGTGGACACACACACACACACACACACACACACACACACACACACACACACACACACACATACACACACATACACATACATGCATTCGTAGACGGTATTCGCAGGGGAGTCTTTGTCAGAATGGTTCCAGGGTGGTCTGGTCTGTGTTAGTATGTAGACTCATCCCTCTTCATGTGGTTTGTTCATGTGAGGACTTCAGTAACTTTGTGTGTGTCCTGATACTTTTCTTTGTCATCCTTTTGTGCACAATCGAGGAAGCAAGCTGATTTAAAAGTTTGTCTTAGAGATTTAACCAACCAACCAATATCTAGAAGGCGATTGCATCATGTTTTTTTTTGTTCCAAAATCACTTCCTTTTTACCATGTGGCCCACTATATTTACACTCTGAATATTGAAACAATATTGTGAAATGTATGCACTTTAGATTATAGTGCCCTTAAAAATCCCCACAATTGAATGAACAAAGTAGTGTTGGTCAGTGGTGGAAGAAGTACTCAATTTTCATACTTAAGTAAAAGTACAGATACCACATGAAAAATGTTACTCAAGTAAAAGTAAAAGTCATCCAATATAAACCTACTCAAATAAAAGTAAAAAGGTACCTGGTTTTAAAAATACTTGAATACAACATTGCGAGTTATAGTGAATCACAATAAGGAAAACTGATTCGCAAGAGGACAAGTAGGATAAGTCTGCCTTATTGCTCTGCTGTTGTGGTAGTATCCCCTTCAGACTGTCTGACAGACACAGAACCCCATTTGGGACTTTGGGTACGTAAGGATCGAAGAACCAAAACAAACTAAAACACTGTAAATGATATATATTTTCTATATATTAATGTTATCAGCTGCATCAGGCCCATTCAAACTGGCTCCTCCAGGTTTCCTTCAATACATTTCCAAATATAAAATACTATTTATAAAAAGACTGGGCTGAATATGTGATGCTTATTGAGATATGTTCAATTATGTACACCGTGGTCCCTCGGCGTTTATCAAACGTAATAGTTATGTTTCACTCAACATTGTTCAGTCACAGTCTGACAAGCAACCAAGAAACAGAGAGACAAGAGCTGCGCTGCTCAGCTGGTTAGCAGGACAGACAGAAATTCACAGTAGCTGCACATTAACATTAGGCTAGCCTACGTGTTGTCTGCTGACCTCAAACTTTGAGAGAAGAGAACACATGTTTACCTGACGTTCACGCAGTTCACTCTAATTGACTTTTTTCTTTACTTGTTCCCAGAAGGACAGTCTCTTCATCCCCTCATCACAGTTGTAAACACTCGCTTTCAACTTTGACATGAGAGTGAAGCGGGGCCGTCCAGCTCTGCGCGAGAGTGACCTGATTTCTATCACTGCGTATGCCGGTGTCAAATCAGCTGGGCGAAGTTGATTCATGCTAAGTCGGTTTTATCAGTTTCACAGTGGTTTTTCAATGCTGCTCCACTCAGGTGCGCTGCATAGGCGACTAATAACAATGTAAGGAGGTCTCATGCTGAATAACATCACATGCTAACATCTGCTAACGTTAGCCCTAATCACAAAGTACACTGATGATGCAAGATCAATTGAAGTAGGCCTAAATTAAAACTTTGACCTGATGATGGCAGTATGTGAAGAAGTTTAATGGATCACCAATTTTGATGTAAATGTCTTTACCGAATTTCATGACAACCTCATGGTGGGGCTAGAGGAAATAGCCATCCTTAGAGCCACGCCGCTAGCATGGCTAAAAAGATAGTTTTATTTGCACATGTATTAAGTTTTGTATGACTGAATGCATGCATGCGCACACAGGCACGTTCCATAAGTGTGTGCATGAGTTTCTTTCTGTGCACTGTTCACCTTTCACCTTCCCTCTCAGCATCCCACTAGCTTGCCAACATTAACAATGTGACTGAAAATCAGAGTCTGCAACAATCATAATCTCTTTTCCTGTAAAGTCTACCATCTGCTAAAATGATCATGTAGATGAAATGTGATCCACTTTTACCTGCGATGGCGCTCACGCCGGCACACTTGTAATTTTACAGTGGCCAGCATGACATAAAACAGCTAAAACAGCTTGACTGACAATTACTGCTCGCTATAAAAAGGGGGAATATACAGTACCGCGTGGTTTTCACATTAACATCAGGCTTATGTTTGAGTGTGTGCTGGTTTTTTGTATTTATTGAGTGTATGCATGAGAAATCAGGGATTATTTTGCCACTTGTGTTGACTATCATTTAATCTTTTGGGCTGAAGTCAACAGCAGTAATTGAGGAGCGTTTTTAAGAACAGGACTAATGTGCAGGCATGCAGAGAATACTGAGTGTGTTGAGAGAGTGGTGCTATTTGCAGAGAGAGAAAATTGCCTGACAACTATATGCTCTGCCTGTGAGTAATGTTGCCACGAAGAAGTACACCCATACAAATAGGCTCTGTCTTTAAGATGTCATTCAGCCATTCTTCACCCTTTGTATTTATTCCTGGGGATTAGAAATGCTTATCTCTTGGTGGCTGTGTTTATTTGCGCTAGAGCTGTCACAAGAGTGCTTTTAACCGCTGTCTCTGTGTGTGTCCAGGATGATCTACACCTCCACTCATGTGTAGGATTTTCATTATTTGCCTAAGTTTCTTCTTTGAATGCTTTTAATCTTTTTCTTTCTCTGATTTTGGATGATAATGACCTTGACAAAAGGCCATAATTCAGCAGTATTTGACTTTGAATTTGGGCAAGTAATAGCTCCTGTACATTTTGTTCAAGCAAACCTTGAAACTTTCCACAGGTTTCTCGTACATCCTGCCAAGATACTATCAAGTCTCTGAATATATGCAGTATATTGCTTTGCTCCAAATGTTGTATCTTTACTGTAACACTTTGGCTCCTGCTGCTCTCCACTGACAGTAATAGAAAACATGCTGTGATGAAAAAAAACTTGTTTTTTCTTTATTTTGCTCCTCTTCATTTTCCACTTCAGCCAATCTTCACAGTGATTTGTGCGCCTGTAGGTTTTTAACTGCCATAAGCCTGGAAAGTTCTGGAAAATGTTATAGGGAACTTTTTCCACCGGTGCAGATTGTGGATGGGTATTGTAGGTCAAAGACAAGGTTTTTACTACTCCATTGTGATGTAATTCAGGCCGATGCTTTAAATACTGAAAATCCATTACTGTAGAAATTAAGAACTGAAATATATGCGATATGTATTCACTTCAGATGATCTGACAAGTTCAGAAAGGACCGAGGGAGTAACAGTAAAAGTTTGGCAAAGAGCTCCCAAGCACATGGCAAACGCATTGGAGTGTACAGTAATAAAAAGGAGGCGTGTGTGTGTGTTCGTGCCTCTTTTGAGTGCAGTTTTGATAAAATTCCAGGTCTCATCTACTGCTGAGCTGCTAAAACCGATTACTCTTGCCACAGTGATTTGGACATTCACACACAGAAATGTTATACTATTCACACAACCACACTCAGTGGACACACATACTGTATATGAATGTGCGTAATTCTGCATCAAAGTAAATTAGATATTTTATACGAGAGGACTGTAAGTACAGTAATTTTACATGTATGATTTTTTAATGTACGTCTACTGAACATCTTAACACAATGTGGAACTCGTTTTTCTGTTTGTCAGGTTGGAGATGTTAAGGACAAGATGAGGGTGTTGAAAAACAGATGTATACCGTGGGTGTCTGCATGGGTGAATGTGTTCACACGTATAAGTCGACACGTCCAGCCCACATGTGAAGTCCCTTGCGGCCTTGGCAGATAAATAAAAAATTTAAATCGTGGCCATGTAGATGTGGAGTCAGGATCCATACAGGTCCTTTCTGTAAGTGGAACAAAACTCACATGTAGCAATAACACTTTGACCTGCCTGGGGTACCTGGTCAAATACCACTGCGGGCAGTTCATTTGGTTTCATTCCTGCTGTACATCTTTGGAACTCAATATTGTTCACTGAGAGGCGATTGGAAACAAAGTTGGAAGCACTTCACAATGAAGGATTCAGTCCCAACCCAGCTTGAAGTATGCCTCAATAAAAGACAATCATCTTGTAAACATATCTAGCAGTTTGTCAAGTTGTTTATGTAAACCACTGACTCAAATCACCTAAAGCAGCATGGCTTCAGCATCAGAATTTATTTTTGTGCTCTGACTCTGCAGTGGGCTCATTTTTGGCACAGAACTCTTCAAATAAAGATGCCACCATTTTTGGCTGATGACACACATCATGGCTGACATATTGTACTGAATGTACAGTTCACATGAGGTAGCCAGACCTTGTTTTGATAAATGTGGGAAAAGGGGAAGTGGCTGGGCTGTGTGTTATCTTATCTGTGTACCGTCCAAGCCACTGACTGCTGTGTCCTGGGAGTGACAAGCACAGTTGTGTGTGTGGTAGCTGGCAGCCGCCTCGGGCCGGTCTCTCTGTGCAGGGTGAGCCTGAGAGACAGTGCAAAAAATTTTAGCTAATTCTCCCCAGGATGTTCCACTGCACTATGAAGTTGTACAAAACTGTCAGGAAAGAGAAAAAATGTTGTAAAGCAAAGTAGAGTGTAATTGCACTTAGCTCATAAGCTCTTATTTGGCTAAAGGGCAAACTGAAGACTTTAATAAAACCCTCTAAATGACATATGGGTCAATTTGGCTGCAATAACCCTTGAACATTTTGTTCCTAAATGAGATATCCTTTATTGGAAAAGGGTGAAACTTTGTCTTGCCAAACAGCACACAATGAAACAGTGAAAAAACTTTGCTTGACAAAATACTTTTACATGTTGGATTCTCTTTATTTTAGAAACAGCGATTAATGTCAAAAGTCTTTTTCCCCTCTAAAATTAATGTATTGCCACTTGGAAGTGGACTCTCCATTCTGCTGCAGCAAAGGCAACATCCCCACTCTGGCCAAACCTTTTCAGCTTTGAAGTGAGCAAGCTGATTGATTGACTTATGGACTCTGGCCAGTGTGTCCTCATTTGAACCGTCTGAATCAGAAAGGCCTCCGCTGTGGTGGGAGATAGACTCAGCTCTCTCCAAAACCGCAGCAGGTGGCCTGTGTTTGGGTCGTACACTAGCTTAGTATCAAGTTACCTCCTTATACACATGTTATCAATTAGTATAGATCTTCAGAGGGGAGGAGTCGACTGCTCATGGTTTTCTGTCTTCTCTCTTCCCTAAACCAAAGCTATGAAAAGAGAGCAACAGTAGTAAACAACAGAACCTAGCCCAACTTGCAAAAATGCAGTTTACATTTCAGCAGCTTTTGTAATCAGTTATTGTCAAAATTTTAAATAGACCTGGGAGCGGGTGGTCTAGTTGTTGAAGCTTCTTTAGTTACATGAAAAATATCATAGCAACCATGACTGGCACCATCATAGATGCCCATTGTTGATGAATAAACTATGCATGAATACTTACATACATAACATCCAGGGATAGAAATAATGCAGGACACAGCACGGTAGTACCGGCAGATGAATTCCTGAGCAGTGAGTCAGGCGTCTGAAGACCCCGGACTCTGACTGGACCCTTCAGAGAGGAAAAAATTTGTGATTCCGAAAATCATCTGTCACTTAGTCTCATTCAGAAATATGTCTGGGTCTGGTCCTATGTGAAACACTTGTACAAACACACACTCCTTTTATACGTCTTGGCTGTCGGTGGCTCAGAGAGCTGCCTCCGGGGAAGGGTCTCCTTCCAGTCAGTTTCCACTCAGAGGGAACAAAAATACATCCTGACCTGGCTATGGAGACCATGACATCTTAGACGGTGTGTATGCAAGAGAGACAGCTCCACAGATGGAACAAATTTGTATAAATTAATGTGTAACTGTTGAGAGGGTAAAACTGATTTGATGTGAATTGCCCTTAGCTTCCATTCTTTCTGCTATGGTACTTGGGAGCCCAAAAGGCCTATATTGTAAAATGGCATCAGCCCTCGGTCCTTAATGTGAGGGCTGGATATTTATTGTCTTTGAAATGAAATAGTGAATGTTGCCTCAGCTTATCTGATAACAAGTCCCAACAACTTTTGCTACATATAGTCGAGATCCTCTTGCATTCCTGTGTGGCATTACAGGAGTTCATGGTCTACTTTGATGTGACCAGAAATGAAAAAATACTCTTCCAGTTAAATGCAGTTGTAGTTCTTCCAGTTTCCACGGTCTTCCATTTAATGTTCTTCCAGGAACCAGAGGTCCACAATAATCAAATCTTCAACTGCAGCATTATGTGTCCCATGTGCAGACGATTCTTAAAGTTTGGTATTTGCCTGTACTCTTTCAAGACTTCATGACCTTGGCAAAAATGTAAAAAGTGGTCCAAGGAAGACACTCTAATCAATATAACATATCCATTCATCAGGTAGGCCACGTTTGCCTGACATGGTGGATCATCAAGTTTAAGCACCTGATAACCATCTGACTCCACTGTGTAGCTAGAACAGAACAGCAGAGTGCAACAAAGCTTTGGTATTTTCTTCATTGCTAAAGATGCTTCAATGTGTCCACATCACATATGAGGCAACCTCTAATCCGCATCCTGTAATAATTTGTCAGCTTGTCATTGCTTTGGCACTGTATGTACGAATTCTGCTGCATTTTTTCGTTCTCATGCCCCAACTCGCTCTTATGCCCATACTCGTGGAAGACACAGACAAGCCAATTGGCCAAACTGGCAACATCTGTAGTCTAATTTTACTGTAGTGGAAAGCACCCAGTTGTTTCAATGCATTTTGCATCACTTTATCAGTGTAATCGATCATGTCAATAAACATAGAAATGATAGTCCTCCACCCTTAATATGTGCCACAATAATAGAATTTATATACACTGCTGTACAACCTGGGGGCACTTCAAATAACACCTGCGGTATTGAATATGTACAACAGTTGGAGAACCGCTGCAGAAGATAAATGAAGTAATTGAACAATTTAGCCGTTAATTTTTGGAACCAATTTGCTGATAAATATGAGCTGGATTGGCCACTTCTAATGTAGGCGTAAATAACGCACACAAATTGTGTTTTATTGCCATTAAATCCAGATGTTCAGTTATGGGAGCATTCGGGGTAACAGGTACTGTAGTGCCTGTAGCCTCGTCAGGAACTCTCTAAATCCCTCAGCTCTCAGCCCTGGTCCTGATACAGCTCATTAAACTGTGATTATACTGCTCCCAAGGGTTTGGGCCCAGGACCAGCTCATTATAAAGGCAACAGAAAACAGAGCTCACAGAATGAATCGTAATGATGCAGTGTGCCTCCAGTCACTATCATCTACTATGCTAGTTTGTCTCAAAACAAAGAACTTTGGATTTGGATTGAGATTGGATTTAAAGAAACGTTTGAGCTTATGTAGTGTGTAAAGAAACATTCCCCAGGAACCTGGGTGCTACAGGCTTTTACCCAGAATTAGCGTCTGGCTGACCCCACGCGCCCTCTCGACCACTCTGCTTTCGAGCTAATGGGGTGCTCCACCTCTCATCTATCGCATGCAGTTATAGGGGATCCGGGAGGACCTGCAGCACATGCGAGGAGTCCGGTCAAATTAACCTGACCTGATCAAGAACAGATTTTAAACACAGGTGTTTGAGAGGAAATGCCAGGGAGGTCCAGTTCTCACATGAGTCTTTTAATCAGGATGTTCCACCACTTGGCAAAAGTTACACTCCAGGTGCTCACGTTTATAAAGATAATGTCATAAAAAACAGAACAGGCATTCATTTATACTCGTTAACGTTACGTTTAAATTGAGACATCTAACCCGTGTTAATTTTATATAAACACACCACATTTGAATTGGAATTGGTGGAATAGCTAGTGTAGGGTTTTTAAAGAAAATTACTACCTTCTTCCAAATGACCCTTCCAAAAATACTTTCACCACAAACTGCTACTGTTTGACTTTTATCATCTTTGGCCACACAAACCTAATTTGACTGTCAGTGTTATTTATGCTCAGTGTTATAGATGAGAGGATAGATACCACTTCATATCTGTACGCTAAATGTGAAGATACTGCCGGCAGTTGGGAAGCTTAGCTCAGCAAGCTGGAAGCAGGCTGAAGCAGCTAGCTAGGCTATGTTCAAAGGAAAAACAATAAAACCACCACCTATTTTACACTTTGTTTTTTATACAGATTAAACAAATGAGATACAATGTGTACATTGTACAACGTTAGAGAACTTTAAAGGTGCCGGTAGACAATTTTGCTTCCTTTCGAGAGACCAGGGCTAGCTGTTTCCCCTGCTTTATAGGCTTATGTTAAGCTAAGCTAACCGACTGGTAGCTGTACCTTCAAGTTTAGTGTAGTTATGAGAGTGGTATCAATCTTCTCATCTAAGTCTTGCCAAGAAAGCAAGCTTATGTCCCAAATTACGGAATTAAGCAACTAAACCAAATATTGACTCTGAACAAAAATGACAATAAACACAATTGGTCTGTTAAAGATGGAAATAAATATATGAGATAGAATATACAGAAGTCACTCAAACACATGGTTACCCAGGCTCCATTTCACTACTCTAAGAGTTGCACTGAAACCACTTCACTGCCATTAATCATCATCATTTCAACAATCGCTCTCTCTTGTCTGTACCTCTGTTCACCTACTTCTGCTTGGTATTTCAAGCAGGCAAAGATTAGAAGTGGTGTCAAGTATCCTGGTCAACGTCTGGCACTGTAACCTTCCTCCCATGTTTTGACAGTCATTAATGAGTGCAGATAATGCAGTGACTGAGAGTGTTAAAGCCTCTAATGGAGAGCACATCCAAATGTATGCCAAAACAAGCATTCTTTGTGAAGAGAGGACAGGATGTTACTGTAATACCTTTGACTGGTGCCAGACTGTGGGGATTGGCCTCGATGATAGCTGGATGCAGTGGATGCCAGGCTGAATACCAAGACAGTGAATTTACAAATGACACAGGCCAAGGAAACAATGGCTTTAACAGATACCAATAAAGCCTTGAAAAGGTTATAAATGTAATTAAACCTTCTGTAGCTGGGGGCCAATCATTTTTGTCTTGTCTGGCATATTTTTGTAAACATTCATGTATATATTAAAAATGGTAATGTGTAATCAACATGGGGTGTTTTTGTTCTCCTCTCCCTGCAAGCTGCATGGGTTTATGGATGGTCAGTTGGTTGGGCCACCACTTTGGTCCAGGCTCAATAACAATTGGATGGATTGGCATGAAATTACAGCCATTTGTGGTGCCTAGAGGATGAATCCTAATGACTTTGCAGATTCCCTGACATTTCCTCTAACGCCACCATGAGCTCGACGTCTGTGGTTTTGAGTGAAGCGTCTCAACAAATTCCATGAAATTTGGTACACACAATAATGTTCCCTTCAGGATGACTTGTAATTACACTGGTCCCTTAATTTTTTATTTAGCGCCATCATTAGGTCTGTTGATGCCTTAATACCTGCAAAATTCCCAGCGGACTTAGCTTTACATTAGCGAAAGTAGGAATTCTAACACAGTACACTAAGACGGTGAACATAGTCAAATTTATATTAGCTAAACTCAGCATGTCAGCATTGTCATTGAGACTATGTTTGCATATGTCATTGGCATTTAGCTTAGAGCACTGCTGTGCTGTGCTAAGTATCCCACAGAGCCACTAGCATGCCTGTAGACTCCCATACCAAAACCTTAAATTTAATTTAATGAATTTAGCCTAGCCCTAGCATAGTTTTTGCTAAAATCAACTGAGAAAATCTGACTCTATTCTGACAAATCTAAAATTATATTAACATTTAAATAGATTAACACAAAAATGTGTGCATTTCACATGATAACACATAGAGTAACTGATAAAAATATACACATACATACATACGCATTTTTCTTCTGTTGTACAGTTTTACGAAGCACAACTGGTTTTAATTACATGTGAATTTTACTACATATTACTACAAGACTTTCCCCGGTATTATGATTAAGGTGTTACCTCCAAAAAATCTGCAGTGACCCAATGCAGCATTTCTTCCTTTGTATTTTTCTGTAACTTTTCTGTTTAATTTATAGTGAAGTCTGCTGATCTTTTTCTTCAGTATTGTTTATCAGTGTATTTCTGCACTAAAGCGAGACAGAAAGAGGAGAAATGGAGGGGCACGACATGAGCCAGATTTAAATGCACAGCACTGTGGTCACATTCCATACATGCCAGCCTGCTTGAGTAGCCAGGACACCAAGGCCTTAAAAATGAAACGTTCTTTAACTAAGTGTGAAATATGAACGATACTGTAGAGCTGAGACGCAGGACAGAAGCCCGGAGCAGCACTCCACCTCATTCCGGGGAGAGCTCATGTGTCATGTTCTCCGGGCTTTGACTCAAGTATTATACAGTGCTGGATCTACACCATGAAAGGGTGGTAACCGCTGTCCTGTTAACAAAACCGAGTCTGTGTACCGGATGTGTTTATTTTAAAATCTCCAGTAATTACTTAACTATGCCCTAAAGATATGCTCGACAGAAGAAGAATGCTGTGTGTATATTTAGAGTAAATGCTGGGATAGTTACAGTCAAAACACTATATAGCAGCGCTAATACACCCCTGACATTAAAATGAACGGCTTCCTGGCACTAATGTGCTGGAAAGTCATTCAAGGGAGACCTCGGCACTCATTTTCTATTAACGTTACACAGAACATTTTCAAATCTGCGCTGCTGAGAGCTGTGGTTGGTTTGCCATTGGGAGAGCTTTCAAACAATGGACAGAAGGGGTTTCCGTTGCTTTATGATGGAGAACCTGAGCCGTGGCTGCCTGCCATCCACAGCGCACGGGGCCGCAGTTAAGAGGAAGGAGCTGGCACCAAACGCAGAAAGGTGAGGGTACACACTCAAATGCGAAGGCACACACGTCACTTTGATCTTCAAAGCGGTTTGATGTTCTTGCTGAAAAGACAGAATAATCTGGTCCCGTGGTGTGTTTTATCCATTAGGATGGCCAGGCCAGTGAGCTGACTTTAACAGTGAAGATGATTACCAAAGCAAAAAATAAAATGTTCCCTGCAGTTATACCACTAATCATTATCTTTTATTCTTAAGAAAATCTCATTAGACCAAACAACATTGTATGTAAACCTAACAGCTAAAATTTCTATTAAAATTCGTGGTGAGACTCTTGAAATGATGGTCAACCAACCCAGTCAAGTGGTTCAACAGTGAAAGGAAAAACTCTCTCTCATTTGCTCTTGCGCTCTCTCACTGACACACACACACACACACACACACACACACACACACACACACACACACACACACACACACACACACAGCCTTGTGTCACTATCTTCGTGGGGACCTGTCATTGACATAATGCATTCCCTAGTCCCTTACCTTAACCTTAACCATTACAAGTAAGTGGCTAACCCTAACCCTAACTTTTACATAATTCTAAACCTAACCCTAAAACCAAGTCTTAACCCTCAAACAGCCCTTTAAACTTGTGGGGTCCAGCATTTTGGTCCCTACAAAGCTTTCGGACCCCACAAGTATAGTGGGCTCCTGGATTTTGGACCCCAAGTAAAACAAGCCCACACACACTTAGGGGAAGCTTGTTTTTTGCAATAGTGTGACTTACTTATCACGGGAGGTCCAGACTTCTGCCATATGCTGAGCCTGCAGGTGCAGGAAGCCTACGGCTCTAAACACTGGGCACATTTGGGTCTATCACACGCCGCCTTTTGATACTCGACACAAAGTGTTGACTTAAAAGGCTTGTTGCATTTTCTAAGCATTCAGTAAAGCATTCAACTGAACAGGAGCCAAATGTCTTTGTAACCAAACAGCAACAAGGGTCAGGGGGTTTAGATTGTGACGATTTCGATAATTCAGTCTATGAATGCGCTGGAAAATATATTTCCCAGCAGATTAATGTTACATCTTTGCACCTTTATTCTATGAAAGCAATTTCAAAAATGTCTTCTTGATTCTGATAATAGCAAATGATTGGTATATTGTTTCTATATTTATTGTAACTTGAGGTGTGGACGTATCTAAATCGGGAGTTGCAATGAAATCAGTTGAACTTTTTCAATCCAGCTGCATGTTTTTCAAAAAGGTAAGAAATTTTAAACCGGGTGAGATACAATTTCTTTGTGTTTTTCAGTGTGGTCCATAATTGTTCTCAAATCCAGATTGCTTACATCTTCACTCTCAACAGGGCTGACACATGAAGTGGAGGCTGTCAATGTCTCAAAGAATACTGAAAGAAAATGATGTGAACCATATGATGCAAATGAAAAATGTATGTTTTTTTCACTCTCTGTACAGCTGTGCATGCTGATTAAAAACACTTACTGTACCCTTTGAACACTTTTAGTGTGATTAAAAACATGAAAGGGCTTTTCACTGGAATCTTAAGGTTGAATCTGAAACCTCATCTCTGACAAAAAAGTGCAGGCTGCAAAATGTAATAAACACTAAAGGTTTGAAACAAGGCTACTCTGACAAATATTGTGTTTGGAGGGCAGCCAGATTCTTGTGCCGATGACTCTGTGCCAGAGGCAAAACTCATCCAAGCCCAGAGTACTCTCAAGTGGGCCTGAGTTGTTGTTTTGGAGTTTGAGGTAAAAGAGAATAGGCCAAAGGAGTGTGAGATAAGCTATTAAAATCCACTCAAAACACAACCACAGAACAGTTAGAATCTGTGTTTTTTCAAAATTTACACTGAACAGAGATATCAGGCCTTTTTGAATATTAATAGGCCATATAGGAACAGTTGTATTACGGTCCACATGCAGGTAATCCTGGTTTAGCCCAAACTCATCTAGCTTGGCTTAGTCATTCACGTACTGCGTGCTGCCCCATTGTTGCGCTGTATCCCGGCCTTTGTGTACCCTTTCACCAGAAGGGACTTTTTGGATACTTTGAGTTTGTGCCAGCATGTCTGTTAGCTTTCATACCATGCATATTTGCCTTTAGAAAGTTTGGTAAAGACATCTGTAAGTAATCAGTATGCATTAACAAGCTACCCCTTCAATTACATTAAAGGTACAGTTTGACATTCAGGGAAATACCATTACTCTCTTTCTTGCCGAGAGTTAGATGAGAGGAGTGATACCACTCTCATATCTGTAGCCTACGCTAAATATGTAGATGGAGCCTGAAAAGCCGGGGGAAACTGCTAGCCTGGGTTTGTGGTTTAACACAGCGTTATGTGTTACCCAGCAACCTTGTGGCAAAACTCCAAACCGTATGTAACGTGTTAATTAGTGAGCTTTAGAGGTGCTGGTTGGCAGATTTGTTACCCTGGGAAAAGCTAGGCTAGCTGCTATTCCCTAGTTTAAAGTATGTATGCTTTGCTAAGCTAATCAGCTCTGTTGCTTCATACTTTATGTACAGACAATCTCAATCTGCACAAATCTCCCAAAATAGGAAATGAATCCTTTAAGCTGGGTTGATATAACTATAACTGCAGTAAAATACTATTTTAATGTAACTTAACAAACTCATATTAACATAGTGTGTGTGTGTGTGTGTGTGTGTATAGCTCGAGGCCTCTGTCATCTTTCCCAGGCTCCACTGTCACACAAGCATACAGTCACGTCTCAAGCTAAGGTATTTCCTCTGTCATTATTATCATTATTAATAATATTTCTTTTCATAGCGACCTGGTGAGGACCCCTGTGCTTGGCTGCATAGCTTGCATTTTTACACACAAGCTGTTTATACAGCTGCGTATCCTTCAGAGCCCGGTTTGGGCCGAGTTGGGTAACGCAGATGTTTGGGTGCCATCTGGTTGCTCTGGCTCCCAGCAGAACTCAGCTGGACATGGATTTCACGGTTGACGAAGAGGGCAGAAGGTAGATATGGTCTCAGAGAGATGAGAAGTGTACAGTGTGGGAAATGTCAGAATAAGAGGAGAGGAAAGAACAGGAGAAACAGGGGAAGGGAGAGGAGAGGAGGACAGAAGTGTGATGAGAAAGAGCAGAGTGCTGAGAAAATGAAAGGGGGTTTAGCTAAGAAGTGATGGAGGAGGGGGTTAAAGTAGTGAGAGAAGAGAAGAGGGATTTAGGTGTGTAAGGAGGCAGTAAGTGGATATAGGGCAGCAGTGGCAGTTGCATGTAGGGAAGGAAAAGAGGCTGTAGTGGGAGAGACGGAGGGGTGGATGGTGGGAACTTAGCATGTGAAACTGTGGGCATTAGGAAGCAGGAAACAGCAGGTCGAGGGCGACAGTGCAAAAGTTGCAATAAACTCACATATGTAATGATCATTTTCTCACTAACTTGAAAAATAACACAGTTCTCTCTGTATGGTGAGTAAGATTTATAACTCATGCTTCATTGAAATCCATTAAACACACAGTCTATAGCTTCCAGAATGTAAGTACAGCAAGAACAGTGACAACTTTATTAGTAAAGATATATAGATTATTTATCACAGGTGACACACTACTAATACACGCCATCTTTGCATCATTATAGCCAAATCCCAGCCTGTTCCTGTTCCACTAGTTTAAATATATAACACTTCTCTAGAGCTACGCTAACAGCTCAGTGAGGCTATACATAGGCACAACAATGATTTTAAGTACATGCTAATGTCAGCATGCTAACATGCTCACAGTGACAATGTTGATGTTTAACTGGTAAAATGTTTACCATGTTCACTCTCTTAATTTAGGGCGTTATCATGCTAACATTTGCTAATTAGCAGTAAATACAGCTGAGGCAGATGAGAATGTCATTCATTATCATTTTACAGGATTTTGGTCATAAACCAAACTACTGGACAAATTACATTTTTTATATCATGTTGGCGCTAGATGAAAAGTTAAGGAATTTTGATCTGGGTAAAGTGAATGTCTGAACAATGTTTTTAATCACAATCCTAATAGTTGTTGAGATATTTCAGTCAGAGCCAAAGTGGTGGAACTCTTTAAAGCCATGCAAGTTTCTGTAGTGTAGTGGTTATCATGTTATCACGCGAAAGGTCCCCAGTTCGAAGCTGGGCAGAAACATTTCTCTGTGGTGGTGGTGATGGCGCAATGGATACAATGCCTGCCTTTAGTGTCAGCGACAAGGGTTCAATCCTCCATTGTGACCCACTCGCCATTGTGTCCCTTAGCAAGACACTTAACCCCTAGTTGCTCCAGAGGTGTGTGACCTCTGACATGTATTGTAAGTTGCTTTGGATAAAAGTGTCAGCTTAATGTAAGTAGTTAAAACTATTTTATGTGAGTCTGAGAGATTGTCAGTCAGAAAAGTGTCAATAATTGATCAAAGTCAATTCTAGTTCTTACAGGTAAAGATCTCTATAGACCTATGCAGAGAATGGTGTAACCCCCATAAACTATATTTAAAGATGGATGACGCTTCTCCACTTCCTCTCTGAGACTTGCATTCTGGAAGCTATAGCCTGTGTGTTGAGAGGGTTTAAATGAAGCACGAGTTATAAATCTTACTCACAGTACAAATAACTGTGTTATTTTTCCAGTCAGTGAGAAAATGAACATTACATGTGTGAGTTTTTTTTGTAACATTTTTCATGTCATCTCGACATGCTGTTTCCTGCTTCCTAATGCCCACCATTTCACCCACAAGCCAAAATATGCCGTATATGCGCGCTGCCATCTTGCTCTGGTGACGTCATTTGGAGCCATATTCTACGCAGGCGTGATAAGGGTTAGAGATGTGGTATCGAAGTCAACCTCATTTGGGTTGAGCTCAGCCATAACAAGTCCGGTACAGATAATGTACTTTTTACGAGTACGAGTATCATTAGAGTAAAATGTGTCAATATGCGTTCTCAAATAAACAATAAATATATGAACTTTTATAAAAAAGTTAGTTCTGTAAATAGTTTTATAATAAATACAGCAACTTCTGATCAATCAATTTAAATTTCAGCCTTAAATGAACAACTTCCAGTTAGTCCCACCCATATCCAGTTTAAGACCAGCCAAAAGTTTGGTACCTGGTCGACTCAATCATGAGCAGGGTGATAGAACAACTTAAAATTATAGAAATGTATGGCTATACCTGTACTGCAGCCAGCCATCAAGGAGCGATTAAAATGTTTTTGCTTCACTTTTGGGGAGCTTTCATGTCGTCTGTCTTTATTTAAAGTCAATGGTAACCTCTGGTCACAGAGGCTCGCAGAACAGCCTATGCACACAACTTCCAAATCTCAACAAAACGTCACACAAAGGTATTGGTTGACCCAACCCCTGACAAGAGCCATTAAAAAAAAAAAATAAACGTTACAAGTTATACATTATTACGAAGCACAGGGATTACTAATCCACGTGAATTGCCAAACCGTAGCAGTGGACTTAATTTCATGACCACGGTTTAAACATTGTAATCTGTGGGACATGCAAAATTGTCCTTAAAATGTTTTAAATATTAAATGATAAATTATCCTAATGTACAGTAACGTTAGTTACTTACTTTGCAGCTGCTGCTGTTGTCAGATCTCGTCCACCTCATACATTGCAACCATCCAAAAGGGCTGATGTCATGAAGTTTTGTGCACTCAGTCTCCATGCATGGGGCTAAGGCAGCAGTCGGTAACAAGTTAACATATAATGCAAAAGACCCTGGTCTCTCTCGCTTCGATTCAAGACACCCCACCAACTGTTCGCACCCCAGGAAAGAGCACCTCAAGCATGAAAGGCAGCTATGACAACGTCTAACAGCGGGATAACAGGCTAGTACTCTACACACACTCAAGGACGTCACTTTGTGTTG